TACCGTATTCTATTTTATTGTGTATATTTGTTTTATTTTATTTAATAATGTTTTATTATTTTTTATTCTCTTTCTTTACTCTTTGAATTAATCCCCTGTGCTGCTGTGCCAATTTGAAATCCCCCTACATGGAATCAATAAAAGAAACATCTTATCTTATTTATGCAGCACTTTGATTAAAATCCTAAAAAATAATATGTTTGAATTATAAAGCATTTAGCAAACAATTACTTATTTACATAATACAACTAAACAGTAGCAAAGTGACCCTGAGAGGAAATTAGAAACTAATAACAAAACATAAAATGATACAGAAAAATGTATAAAAATTGGTTGTTTCTGTAGATAAATTAATAATATTAATAATCAGAAAGAAAATACAAACAATTACAGCTTCAGATTCAACCACCAGTAGTCCTACTAATGTCCAATTTAAAAACAGCATACACCAATATAATAATAATTTATTTATATAGTAACTTTGACAGACAAGAGGTTAAATAAAGGGAAGACAGAAATGTATAAGAACATGTCAGAGGGAAGATAATAGTGATGAAAGATAAAGGATGGTGAAAGTAAAAGCCAAGAACACTTAAGAAATAATAACAGAATAAATACAAGGTTTTATTTTGAATGTTAACTTCTGGTGCTGCTCAGTCATTGTGAACTTGACGAACTGGACTCTGAGTAGTAGAATCTGCTTCCTGTCCTTTAAACAGAGACTGCTGGGCGTCTCCCTAATAAACATCATCTTTATTCATATTTATCAGCACACAATAATCAATATTATAAAGAACAGATGAGATAAGACCACTGGCGAATGTTTAGAATGAGAAATTAGACACACACATTCATTTTAATTAATAAAATACTAACAAATATAAACTTTCTCTGGAGTTAAATTAATAATCAATTAAAGAAAACGTCACACATTTAAGTTCTTTACACCATTATGTCAATTTTAAGTTTAACAAAAACTAGTTAATAGGCAAAAATAATCAATACAAATAAGAAGTTGGCTAGTTTATTTATTATTATTTAGTATTTATTCAAGTTTGTTGATTAGGAAAGGGCATTTTAATTCACAATATTTTAAATGAATTAATTTATAATGTTCTGTTTCCACTGAAACATGGACAGTTAGTTCTGTTTAACATTAAAGTAAATGTTTTACTGGAAGATTGTTCATTTGAGTTCCTGCAATAAAACCAGTTGGAGGGTAGACAGAGTGTGTGTGTGTGTGTGTGTGTGTGTGGGACAATAGTTTCAGAATAAAGGACAGATGGTGGGCTTCACTTCCTGCCCCCCCACTCCCCTCCACAGCCTGCCGCCCCGACACAACAATAAAACAACAATAACCTTGAAACCGACACAAAAGCATCACACACACAGCGACATGTGCTGTACCACACACACACACACACGCGCACTCACACACACACACACACTTTTATTGGTTAAAGTTGTTACTTATAACAAAATGTCTTAAAAGATCAGGAGAAGAGTCAGAAATAAAACTCACTACATCATTTAATATTATTATTATGAATTATTTCGATGCAACGTATCTGCAGGCAAATATTTCCCTTTTTTTCTTGTTGTTTATTCGTCTCTTCGGTCTTTCGAAAGAGTCGTTTTTATCCACAGACGCCTTCTACGGAGTCCGCTATGTTGAACCTCCATGTTTCTACAGTAGCCCAGAAGTACCACTAAGAGAAAAATGTTGTTGGGTTTTTTTTCTGTGTTTAACATTACATTCACCTATATGGGTTTTACTTCACTTAATGCATTTCAGGGCTCCAATAAAGGTTCAAATTACCGTAAAACTTCTAATAATAGCCCGGGCCTTTATTTGCTTAAATCACTGAACTCCCCCGCCTTTATTGGGGACAGGCCTTTAATTCCTTTAGCACAAAACTAAACTAAACTCTAACTGCTGCTTCTCTTGACT